CACAGTAGGAGCAGCAGTGGACTCAAGTGGGGTTGGCACAGGACAGGGAGTGTTTCCTTCTAGTGTGTATGAGGTCCCTATGAGTCAGTACCAACATGACAGCACCTCACAACAACAGGGACTGGGGGGAGGGAGAATGGGGTGTTGTTGTCTAAGGGGAACTAAGTTTCTGTTTTGTTGCATTGTTGTTGATAAGTGCCTTCCAGTTGGTTCCGACCCATAGCAACCCTGTATAGGGTTTCCAAGGAGCAGCTGGTGAGCTTGAACTACTGACCTTGTGGTTCAGACCTACTTTGCAGTCCAGTGCATTAACCCACAGCACCACACCAGGACTCTGGTTTCTTGTTAGGATGATGTAAACAATTTGGAGATGGGTAAATGGTGTTAGTTGTACAGCATGGTGAATGTAATCAACGTTGTTGAATTTTACACTTAAACATGGTTGAAATGGCAAACGTTTTGTTCTTATCTTTTACCACAATAAATCTTTTTTAAAAACCACTGTTCACACCACACATGACAATGAGCTCAGACTGTCCTGCACAGTGCCCGGGGCCTTGACCTTGAGTCAGGGTAAGTGCAGTGCGTATAGTTGGCCCCAGTCCTATCTCACCACACACTCACCTGAAAAGGACAGTTCACCTCGTCCGCAGCACATTCCAGCCGTCTCTTGACCGTCTCCAAACTATGATTCTCAGTCAGAAGTCTCTCTAGCTCATAACCCAGCTCGGACTTCCAGAAGCTGATGTCCGACAACCTCTGGCCCAGGTTCCGGCAGGTGCCCTCCTGCATCTGACGTGTCAGCTGGTCCTTGTCCTGCATGAGGCGCATGGAGTCGCCCATCAGCCGCCCGGCCCACAACCGGGAGGCCTCGGCTCCACGCAGCTGCAGCTGGTTGGATCGGTCCCAATCCTGGGGGCTGTAGCGACTGAAGAGTGCTGAACGCAGGACTGGCAGGATGGTGGGCGGCCGCAGGGTGCTGCGGTTCATGGTAGCCTCATCTGGGCAGGTCTGCACATTGGCAACCTTGCAAAAGAGGCTGGGCCTCCATGAGTTGAGGTAGCGGTACCCAGGCAGGTAGAAGGGCTGGTAACTCTCCTGAATCACCGGAGTCTGCACAGCCGGCGGCAGGGTACTCAAGTCGCAGGACTTCCTGGTACTGCAGTAACTGGCCGTCTGTGGGATTCCAAGGAACTCCATCCTCTTCCATCAGCCCCTCTCAGACCAAACTCTGCCCACCGGGACATAGGCATCACCAGTTTAGGGGAAGGGGTTTCTCTGAGAGACCAGCAGGCCTCTATGACTCAGCACCGGTGTCATAAAGCCTGTGGCAGGGAGGCTTCTGCAGGGCCCAGCTCATTCCTAAGCCACCTGGGACCATATGGTGTGGAGCAAAAGAAAATCAAATAAACAAGCCTTCTCAATCCACAGAGTTGGGGGTGTAAGAAGTGGCCCTTTCGTTATTGGTCTATATCAATTGAAACTGTCCTTTTAGAACTAACTCTGCCCTGTGGAAGGAAATGAAAGGAAGCCCATTCCAGGAGAGTCCTTCGGTGCTGCAGGGCCTATTTGGGTCAAGATTGGTTGTGTTCTTTCTCGTGTGTTTCCAATATGGCACCAAAATGGTACCGTCATCCTGTGGAATTCTCCTCAGCCATATAAGGCAGTGGTTGTTGCTGTTGTTGTTGTTAGCGGCCATCGACTTGGTCCTGACTCATAGCGACCCTGTACAGGATTTCCGAGGAGCAGCTGGTAGGTTTGAGCTGCTGACCTCGTGGCTCATAGTCCAGTGCTGATCCTACAGCGCCACACCAGGAGTCCAAAAACAGGCGTGGGATACCAGTTTTCTGCCAAGGGCCATTTGGATATTTATAACTCACTTAATATAAATTTATGTTGCTCTAAAAAAGCTCCTAGGTTTATTGAATTTTGAGTCCTGCCTGTGGTTGCCTTGGTAGGGCCAGACCAAATGATTTTGAGGGCTTATATGGCCTCTGGTAGTGTAGTGGTTACAAATCGGGCTGCTAACCTCAAAGTCAGCAGTTCGAAACTACCAGCTATTCCGTGGGAGAAAGATGAGGCTTTCTGCTCCCATAAAGATTTACAGCCTCAGAAATCCTGTGCAGGGTCACTATGAGTCGGAACTGACTCCACTGTACTTAACAACAACAACAACAATGACCAGCAGAGACCTGGTGTGGTGCTGTGGGTTAATGCGCTGGACTGCAATGTCATTTAAACCACAAGGTCAGCTGTTCAAACTCACCAGCTGCTCCTCAGAAACCCTATACAGGGTCACTATGGGTCGGAATCAACTCAATGGCACTTAACAACAAAAACAACATAGGGTAGGCAGGACAGTCGTTCCCTATCCCTGATAGAAAGGAACATGTAATTGGTACCCAAAACATAATGAATCTCAGTTATGTAAAGCTAAGTGAAAGCAGTTAGCCTCCAAAGGCTACATCCATAATGATTTCATCCCTATGACGTTCTGGAAAAGGCGAAACAGTGAGCGGGAGACATAGTGTTGGTTGCAAGGGACTGGGGCTGGGAGAGGGCATGATCATACGTGATGCAAAACAAGGGCCTAGTCAAAGCTCAGGTAACGTTTTACATCTGAATTCAAGTAATATCTTTAAACTGAAATGTGTCATTTTTATTTGTTAATTAGAAAAACTAAGAACGTAAGTCTTACTGAAATTACTGAGGACATTAAAAAGAACCGATGCCTTTGAATTATGGTATTGGCAAAACCTACTGACCACACCACGAACTGCCAGGAGAACAAACAAATCTGGGTTGGAAGAAGTACAGCCAGAAAGCTCCTTAGAAGCCAGGATGAGGAGACATCATCTCACGGACTTTGGACGTGTGATCACGAAGGGCCAGTCCCTGGAAAGGACATCATGCTTGCAGAAGTAGAGGGACAGCTGCAATGAGGAAGACCCTCAGCGAGGTGGACTGGCATAGCGGCTGCAGTGAAGGGCTCACACATGCCAACGGTTGTCAGGATGGCGTGGGACCCAGCAGTGTGTGCTGTGAGTTCGAACCTACTTGAAGGCACTTAACAACATAACGTTCTGGTGGCGCAGTGGTTAAGCATGTGGTTTAAACCTACCATGTGCGCCTCAGGAGGAAGATGTGGCAGTCTGTTCCTATAAATCTTTAGTTTTTGTCTAAATTTTGTCCTGTGAATCAGAATCGACCTGACAGCCCTAAGTGTGGTTTTGCACTGGCTGTATCCTATGGTATACCCTGAGTACATAATTTCTGTGGTATCCTCAGCCCCTAGCCCTAGTCTCCCCAGCTCACTCAGCACCCCACATCATACTGTTGTTAAGTGCTGTTGAGTCGGTTCTGACCCATGGTGACTCTGTACAAGGTTTCCAAGGAGCGGCTGGTGAGCTTGAACTGCCAACTTTACAGTTCATACAACTTTGCAATCTGGCGCATTAACCCACAGCGCCCCACCAGGACTCCAGATCATAAGCACCACAAAAACAAGGTGCTAGTCAGAAATCTGGTAGCATAGTGGTTACGAATCGGGCTGCGAACCGCAAGGTCAGCAGTTCGAAACTACCAGCTGTTCCGCGGGAGAAAGATGAGGTTTTCTGCTCTCGTAAAGATTTACAGCCTTGGAAACCCTGTTCAGGGTTGCTATGGGTCAGAACCGACTCAATGGCACTTAACAACAACAACAAGTTTCAATCTACCAGCTGCTCCAAAGAAGAGAGATGAGGCTTTCTGCTTCCGTAAAGATATACAACCTCATCTAAGAGCTGGAACCGACTGCACAGCCCCAGAGTATAAGATGATTGGCGTCTCTAGGTTTCTTCTGTAGTTTCTGTCTTTTGGAGTGCTGGTGTGGTACTGCAGGGCAATGCGCTGGACGGCAAGGTCGGTTTGAACCTCAAAGTCGGTGGTTCAAATCCACCAGCCACTCCTTGGAAACCATATTCAGGGTGAATATGAGTCAGAACGGACTCGATGGCACTTAACAACAACAACGAATCAATCTAGCCATCACTGTTCACCCCTCTCCAGACACGTGGCCTGATCCTCCTGCCAGTACTCGATACATTTGTGTAAATCAAGGAATGAAGAAGGAAGAGTGGGAGGGAAGAAGATTATTTTAGAGCAAATGATCACAGTTGTCAACTCAGCAAACATTCCTTGGGCGCCCCCTGTAGACACGCAGGAATCTTGTTACCTGTCACCTCCCAGTCACCTATGATTGGAAATGGTTCTAAGCTGTACTTGGAAAACCAAACCGGTTGTGTGGAAACACATGTCCACACAACCAAGGGCACAGCAAGACGTTTAGAAAATCCAAAAAGATTTCAGTTCCCTATTCGTGTCAGTACGTAGCGTTCAAAAATTTAACTGTTCACCTATTTGAAAGTTAAGTGATTTTTTCCCCTTCACTTTGAATTTTGTTGTTGCTAAGTACCATTGAGTTGGTACAGATTCAAAGCGACCTTATGCACAACAGAACAAAACACTGCCCAGTCCTGCACCAACCTCACAGCTATTGCTACATTTAAGCCCAATGCTGCTGCCACTGTGCCAATCCATCTCGTTGGTGGTCTTCCTTTTTTCCCCCGGCCCTCCATTGTACCTTCTCCAGAAAATGGTCCCTGTATGAGAGACAACATCCGAAGTATGAGAGACAACGTCTGGCCATCCTACCTTCCAAGGAGCATTCTGGCTGTATTTCCAATACAGATTTGTTTGTTCTTTTGGCAGGCCACGATACTGTCAATATTCTTCACCAACACCATAATTCAAAAGCATTGATTCTTCTACAGTCTTCCTTATTCACTGTCCAACTTTCACATACATATGAGATTATTGAAAAGACCATGGCTGTGTCAGGCACACTTTAGACTTCAAAGTGACAGCTTTCCTAATTTTTAACCATTTGATGTTCCCTTGTTTTGTATGAACAACTGCCTCTTGGTCTATGCACAGGTTTCTTGTAAACACAAGTAAGTGTTCTGGAATACTCATTCTTAGCAATGTTGTCCATAGCTTGTCATGATCCACACAGTTGAAAGCCTTTGCATAGTCAATAAAGCACAGGTAAACATCTTTCTGGTATTCTCTGCTTTCAGCCAAGATCCATTAGATGCCAGCAATGATATTCTTCATTCCATATCCTCATCTGAATCTGACTTGAACCTCTGGAAGTTCTCGGTCAACGTATGATTGCAGCCATTTTTGTATTAAGCAAAATTTTACTTTGTGCAATATTAATGATTTTGTCTGATGATTTCCACATTCCACTGGATTTCCTCTCTTTTGGAATGGGCAGGTAGCTGTCTTCCAAATTTCTTAGCATAGATGAATGAGTGTCTCCAGTGCCACATCAGTTTGTTGAAAGATTTCAATTGGTATTCCATCAATTCCCTGTGCCTTGTTCTTTGCCAATGACTTCAATGCACCTTGGACTTCTTTCTTCAGTATCATTGGCTCTTAATCATATGTTACCTCTTATAATGTTGAACATCAACCATTTCCTTTTGATAAAGTGACTGTGTATTCCTTCCATCTTGTTTTGATGCTTTCTGCATCATTCAATATTTTGCTCATAGAATCCTTCAATATTTCAAGTCAAGGCCTGATGTTTTACTTCAATGCCCTCAGTTAGAGAAATGCTGAGCACTTTCTTCGCTTTTGGTTTTCTAACTCCAGGTCTTTGCACATTTTGTTACAATATTTGACTTTGTGTTCCTGAGCCGCCCTTTGCAATTCTCAGTTCAGCTCTTGTACCTCCTCATTGCTTCTATTTGCTTTACCATCTCTGCACTGGAGAGCAAGTTTCAGGGTCTCTTCTGACATCCATTTGGGTCTTTTCCTTCTTTTTTATCTTCTTAATATAAGATTTTGCTTTCTTCCTGTATGATGTTCTTGATGTCATCCCACAACTCCCCTGGTCTTCAGTCTTTAGTGTCTAATGCATCAAATCTGTTCTTCAGATGATTTCTAAATTCAGGTAGGATATGTTCAAGGTCATATTTTGACTCTAATGGACTTGTTTTAATTTTCTTCAGCTTCAGCCTGAACTTGGATATGAGCAGTTGATAGTGTGTCCCACAGTCTACTCCTGGCTTTGTTTTGGCTGATGATAAGGAGCTTTTCCATCGTCTTTTTGCATAGATGTAGTCAATTTAATTTCTGTGTATTTCATCTGGTGA